CGAATTTATGTACCATTGGAGGCTAGACGTATGGTTATGCAGCAAATGCATGAGTCGCCATCGGCTGGTCACTGGGGGAGTATGAAGACCTTGGATCTCTTGACTAGAACTTTTAGTTGGCCGCATGTTCGCGATGATTTACTGATCTTTTTGCGGCATTGTGTCAGTTGTCAAAAAGTTAAAGTCGATCGTCGGCCACCTCAAGGCGAATTGGTGCCTTCACCTGTACCGGAACGACCTTGGTCGACAATAGGGGTAGATTTTATTGTAAAGTTACCTTTATCGAACGGTTATGACTCAATCATGGTAGTGGTTGACCACATGGGGAAAGGGGCGCATTTTATTGCAGCGAAAGAATCTTGGAATGCTGAGGAACTTGCTTCTGCTTTTGTTGCACAGGTTTTTTGCCACCATGGTTTGCCAGATGTGATAGTGTCTGATCGGGGTACTACTTTTGTCTCTCGGTTCTGGACGTCCGTTTTACAGTTGTTGAATGTTTCGCCAGCGCCTTCGACTGCCTTTCATCCTCAGACGGATGGGCAGGTGGAACGGGTCAACGCTTTGGTAGAAGATTTCTTACGACATTTTGTCGCCGAAGATCAATCTGACTGGGTGAAATGGTTGCCTATTGCGGAGTTTGCTTATAACAACTCGCCTTCTGCGTCGACTGGTTTTTCACCATTTTTTGCATACACGGGTTGTCATCCGCGTTTCAATTCTTTGGTTGCTACTTCCGGTGTTCCTCGCGCTGATTGTTTTGTGGAACGCATGCAGGCTATACACTTTTCTCTCAAGGCAAATTTGGAACGGGCAAAGGCGGCGCAGGCAAAGTTCTACAACGGTTCACGTCGTTTGGTGGCAACTTATTCTCCGGGGGATCTGGTTTGGCTATCGAGGAAGCATTTACGCACCTTGAGACCATCAAACAAGTTGGATGTTTGGCGTATTGGGCCCTTTCAAGTTAAGCGTATGGTCGGTAAAAATGTAGCTGAGTTGCTCCTACCTGCTTCCTTGAAACGTTTGCACCCTGTTTTCAATGTCTCTCTTTTGTCTCCGTTTTTTGGTGACCAGTTCCAGGTTCCGGATGTTTTTGGTAGTTTGTTACTAGATAATCAGGATGAAGGGGTGGCGGCTTTTATTATTGATTATCGGCTGACTAAGGAGGGAATTCACGAATATTTGATTAGGGGTGGTGATTCTTCGGGGTTGGATGATACTTGGACTCCTTTGACTCAACTTTCAACGGCCTTGGATATATGGTTGAAGAGGTTTCATGAGTTATCGCCGTGGGTTGGATTGGGACCTGCTGAGGATGTTTGGGTAGCGCGTTCTAAGATATTTTAGCATTTTGGTACAAGGCAGATCATATTTTGTCATAGACGAGTGCGGTTAGGGTTAGAATTATTATTAGTTTGTTTCAAGATTCTTCTGTATGGCTAGACGTTGTTCTGGTTACCTTTTTCTTTCTTCTGTTCCTTATTTCTCTCGTATCTGATTATGTTATCTTAAATTCTGTTTGTTCCTGAAGCTTATATGAGCTTTAGTTTGTTCCTGATTGTTGTCGATTTTTCCTTTATATACTCTCTTATCTTTTCTGTTGTAGAGCTTTTTCTTTATCGAAATATTTATTATCATTTCCCTTTTTCTAGAAAGACATTATTATTAAAGACCAGACCAGAACAGGTTCAAGTGTTCAAGACCAGACCAGTATCTAGGATACAAGGTTCCCCATCACACTTATACTATTTTTATTGATCTTTTCGAATTTTTCTTTACTCCTAAATGTTCTTATCAATTGCTTATGTAAATATATGATTTGAAAGATAATGAAATGAAGATAATGAATCAACTTTGATAACCTTGATGACTAATAACTTCAATAATAATATTGCCTTTGACCAAAAACTCAAATTTTCACATAATTGTTAAATTTTTTGCTTAAGTAGAGATCTTGCTCACCACAACATTTGTTGCCAAGGCACCTATGCAGGCCGTACTGTGATGATGAGTGACAGGAGGTATTACATTACACTCTTGCAGTGGATCCCAAAGAGCAGACTTTGCTATCATTTATTGAAGTGTCAGATAAAATGTATGAACAATATAGAAAAGAACACTTTTCCCAAATCACATTGATGGATGGGTTGATGGGGGAACCAGGAATGCACCTACTGAGTTTTGTGATGTAAATTACAATGTTTGATTAGGAGTTCAAATCTGGTCAAACCCAAAAGAATCTTGATTTCATTGTTTTTAGTCACAAAGGCCACATTCAGCCAGTGACCAAATAATTTATCATCCAGTGCAATATTAGAATCCACTTGGGTTGAAAAAAGTGTTTAAGACATCAACTTGAGCAGTTATATCATTAGATTTGATTAGAATGATAGCTTGCTTCTGAAAACATAACACTTCTCAATAATCTTTGACTTTGAAAAGCTTGTTTTTCAGTTCTCTCAGTGAGTTGATTGGTTGATCAATGAATTCACAATAATATTCCAAAGATTTTAGATCTTCAGTGGAGCTTTACCATCAACATCACTGATTACAAGGATCTCACATTGAATCCAACACCCAAACCCAGTGAAAGCCAGTGCAGAGTGTGTGAAAATGTGCTCAAACTTTCACAAACCCACTGTGCATCACTCAGAAGCTGTTACCCAGAATCTTGAAGGCCCCTGCCACAGGGGCCAAAATTGATGCTCACATGTATGTGAGCGTTGTAGACTTTCTTGAAGTCTCCAAAAAAGATTCATTTTCTTTCAGATTCATTCAATTCACAATTTTGGTTGTGTTCAGGTTATCAGCCTGTTTTGCTCACATTTTGCTTGACATTTCTTGAGAAGGCTCATTTCCATCTTGGATGAGCAATAACTGAGTCCAGATGAGTACTCAGGATCAGCTCATGAGTCACTGAATACTCAGCAATTTGGTCAAAATTACAATGAGCACATGAACTACACCTTCCTCAGGCTTCATTTCTTAGTGAAGGCCTGCACAGGGGCCGTCCCATTTGAGATGCTCAGGGAATACTCAGTATCATCCCCTGGCTGGGTCATTGATGAGCCAGACTTCCTTGCTAAGCAATGAAACCTCATAAAAGAGCCATCCCCCTGCTCAGTTTATCTCAGCCGCTCAGCTAATCCTAAGTGATGTCCCCTGGATAAAGCTGCTCACACTGAGGGGCTGAGATCAACTGAGCAGCCCCTCAGCTAGTCCTCTGTGACATCCTTTGGATCCTTCTGATCCCAGGAATGCCCCTGAGGACTAGCTGAGCAGCTGAGCAGCCCCTCAGCCAATACTCAGTGACATCCTTTGGATCCTTCTCCCAGGAATGCCCCTGAGGACTAGATGAGCAGCCCCTCAGCCAATGAGCAGTGAAATCCTTTGGATCCTTCTGATCAATAAATGCCACTGAGGGATAGCTGAGCAGATGGGCATCAGGCTTCATTCTGGAGCCATGAAGCCTGAGGAAAGGCTGGACCTATGTGATCCATCCAAGGGATGCTGCGGAGAATTAGTCAAGAGGATACTCAGGTCAGCTCAGCCCCTAAGCTAATCATAAGTGGTGTCCCTTGAAGCCTACTGAACCAGGGAATGCCACTCAGGATCAGCTGAGCAGCTGAGATAAACTGAGCAGATGGATCAGCCCTTCCTCAGACTTCTTTGCTCAGGAATAAGGCCTGAGGAAGGCTTAGTTTTTCTGCTCAGTCCCTGTTGATCACATAATCAGATGACAAGCAGAGAGAAATTGGAAAGAAAAGGGAAAGAAAAGGAAAAGAAAAGGAAAAGAAAAGGAAAGCAAAATTGAACAAACATTGAAGAAAACACAAAAATTTCAACGCTCACACCTATGTGAGCATCTACTTTTGCCCCTGTGTGCAGTGCACTCCAGTGCAGGTAAGCTAAGCCCAGTGTGCAAAAAACAGCAGTTCATTTCAGTTTTCCACAGATGGCAATTACAATTTTTCAATTTTCCAAAGGAGAGCATCTTTAAAGTGATCCATTCCCAGATCAAACAACATCCTAACTGAAATACAACATGCCCTACATCAAAATTTGATTTGAAAAATTTGAATTTTCAAGAACCACTGAGGAAGTCATCCCCAAGAAGCACCATCAAAGCATTTTTTCAAAAAGAAAAAAAAACAATTTCCAAGGGCTGGGAAGCCAATTAAGTACCCAAATTTCTAGCCACTTTTTGGCCAGCTTGGACACCTCCAACAGGACTTGTAAATTGGTTTATTACTAATATATCACTTGGCACAAGATGGCTAAAAATTCCTTCCAGTTGATAGATTTGATCACAATGATAATGCACCGACCCGGCCCGGAACAACCGGGTTGAGCGGGTCTTGGTGCACCTTTGAGGAAGATTAGGTTGACCCGGTCCGGATTGCTGATAAGAAAACAGGCAAGTTTTTGTGAATTTAGAAATTGAGGATATCATTTCTTCAAATAATCAAATCTTTATACATTATTGGTGCCATCCTAGGCTTTTATAAAGGTATCTGAAGCTCAATTCAGGAGTTGATCCTATCCGGATTCCGGCATTGATTTCATGGGTCATTTGTTTTTTTTGAAGCCATTGTCCAGTCTGGGCTACCGGACCGGGTCAGCCCGGTTTGAAGCTGAGCTGACCCCGGGTTAGCTGGAGATCTCCGGGTCAGGGCCGGGTCAATAATGCAGACTTCTCACTCTCTTTGAAGAGGACATAAATCACCTCTTGTTAGGTTTTGAAGCCTAGTCAATAGTTGACCCTGGTCCTAGTATGTAGAAGGAGTAGACAAGGCTGTGGGGAGGAGCAAGGGTGTGAGTTGGTGGAGTTGAACATCTGTGAGTTGATAAAGAGTTTGATGGATTGGATCAGCTTGATGAGTTATCATTTCTTTTTGTTATTGCTCAATTGCTCCTTAATTTTTTTCTTGTTTTGTTCAAGTTTTGATAAATCCATTTGTAGTTCTTAACTTGATTTTGATTTGTAATTTTTCCAGATTAGTATGATCATGAAGAGTTCTTTAAGCCATCCACTTTTTAAATTTCCAACTGAATTATGGGATCTTATCTTATCATTCATACCAAACTCATTAAAATCATTCACCACTCATTCACTCTTGATTATCTTTTATCAAAGCGAACAACAACAATCGATTATCTCAAACAACCATCTGTTTCATTCTATCAATCTCACATCTCATTCTCAACTCAAGACTTTGATTAATTCAATCCAATCTACAAATCATGATTTCAAAACCTTACCTCGGACCTTTTCACTTAAAGCTTGGAAACTCAAGGATAATCATTTGTTCATCAATTTATTGAATCAGATTAGTAAGAATTTAAGAGCTATTGAACTTAATATTGGACCTCTCTTTGGTCCTGATCAACTTGAAGAAGTCTTTGAAAATGAGAAATCTAATCTTAAAGTCTTATCACTTCGATTCAACCAAAACGTTTCCAAAAGATCTTGTAAAGTTTCAAATTTCTTAATTCAATTCGATTTCTTGTGAGATTTCTAATCCTTTTTTTTGCCTGGGGGGTTTCTTTTTCGATCAGATGAACCGTTTTTGAAAGGAGCTTATTTTGATTCGACCATTGATTTGATTTCCAAATGGTCAGCTAAAAGTTCATCATTAAGATCATTTTCATTTATACAAGATCCAGCACCACCACCTATTAAAAAGAAAAAGATGGGAGAAATAGATGAAGGAGGGATAGCACAACCTATTATCTTATTTAGGTTTGAAACGTTAAAGACTTTTACGAGTTCTTCGATCGGTAATCGGATTGAAGATTTAAGAATCCGAATTCCTAATCGAAACCTTTTACCTTCACTTACACAAAAACTTAATAACCCATCAAGTAAACGATTGTCTAGATTAAAAACTTTGGATCTTTCGACTACTTCTTTAAACCATCAATCTGTTTTAACGATCTTAAGAAATTATCCTTCAATTGAACATTTAATTTTGGATAGAACTCATCTGATCGTTCCAGTTAGGTTTGATGCCGATCAGGAAAGAGTGACAGAAACGTTAAAGAACATTGGGATGAGTGTGGCTACTGTAGGGATCTCTAGAGCTTTGGATGCGAATAGGGCATGGCGTGAAGTGGTTGAAAAGATTCAAGTTCAACGGAATTTGATTTTAATGCAACATGATCGGAATCGAGATCAGCTTCGAGATTCAAGTCATGGGAATGCTTTGAGTAGTGGAAGTAGTAGTGGGTTGAATAGTAGGAGAAATCATACAAGGGTAAAGAAACCTGGAAGGAGCGCTTTTGCTAGTGGACCAATGAAACAAGCAAGACTTACATCAGAACCTTTTCCCTCAGTATCACAACTTACTAAAACTTCAATTGAAATTCAAGAAACGATTTTACCCACCAAGATTGTGATCATCCCATCTAAACCTAAATTGAAAACCTTAAGTGTTGGTACGAGCAAGGTTACCCAAGAAGTTAGGAATCAATGGAAAGAATGGTTTGAAGAAAGTTATAGAGATGGAATAGAAAAGTATATTAAAAATGTATATGAAAAGATTTATGAGTTTGAAAGGAATTTAGAACTTTGGAATTCGAAGAAAAATAAAGAAGAAGAAGAAAATGAAGAAAGAACTAAACCATTGTTATTGAAATTTGATGATGAGGATCAAAGTATAGATTCAAATGAAACGGAGAAATCAAGATTTAGTCAACCGATTCTAGAGTTTTTAAACCAATTTAATTTAAGGATTACTTCAATTGAAGAAATTTTAAAGGATTTACAACCTATTGAGATCCGATTGGATACCCAAACTTTAAACATTCCAATCTTTTGTTCTATACCAGATTGTAAAAGGTTAGGAAAAGTGGTTTGGGATACGGATAGAAGAGAAATTGATTTGATTAGGATTGGTCAACAATTGACTAAATTGAAGATTGAAGAATGTGTGGTTGAAGATCAAGAAGTTGGAAAAGTCATGGATGTACAAGATCATGATGATGATGATGATGATGAGTTGGAAAAAGAAGATGGTGAACATTTGGTTGGGTGTGGTCATTTTATTAATCGTAGGATTTGGGATTCGGAGTATTGGTGAAGAGGAACAACTGGTTCATTGCAGGGTATTTTTTTAGCAAAAGAATTGGATTCGAAATTTCGATTCTGTTTTGATGGGTTTTGTTGTTTAAAGAACATTACATTTAACTTCTAATGTATAATACGACCAACAACAGTTTTTTGAAATTCATGAGTTATGAATTTCTATAGTTTTTTTTTCTTTCGTTGAGAAGAAGGGAAAGAATTGTGTACGTTTGAACAGTTTCGTTATAGCATTTTAACTTTTGATGTGTGTGGTTTTGTTTCCTTGTAATTTTCATATCTTAATTTTTCATTATTGATTGACATTAGATTCAGAGAAATCTTTTTATAAAATTTGTGACGAAACTTGAGAGAATTAGGAAGTATGGTGAATAAGAAGTTGGCATGTAGATTCAGACAACAGATGGCCCTGCGCACACCGGGTCCAAGGATGCAAGGTAGTGCATGCGCCGATCAGTCTCAGTCCGTGTTGGTTACAGTTTGATGAAGCAAAGCAAGTTTTGTTCCGATTGCTCATGGAAGGGGCTTTGATGCAAAGGTAAATGGTGATCTATATGATGAAAGGCAGTCCAAAAAGTGAAGCGGTTATCACAACCAACAGGAAAACATGTGCTTGAAATTGGATGGGGAACATATATTATTGCCTGTAGAAATTATATTGATAAGAAATGAATGAAAAGAAGGATGACAGAAGACTGAATGTGACGCGACAAAGAAACTGGAAAAGGTAAACAGAAGGATATACAAAAAGTGCACAAAAGTACTACTACTGGATGTGTACCTGATGCACAAGGGAGACATGCGATGTCGCTTGCACTTTCATGGATTGGGATGATTGAAGTCTGATATCATCGAGTATGTCAGACAATTCGTGTGCTATCAACAGGACAACTGGAACACCCTACTACCAATAGCTGAATTTTTTTCAAACGATAATGGAATCAGATCATGGAGCGCTTCTCAACTATCATAAGGAATTGGAATTCACCTATCGAGTCTGAGCCCAATCATAATCTCCAATCTGAACCAGAGCGAGCCACATGAACCTAAGTGAATGTACCAACGTGTCATAACTAGCTAAGCACCAAAAATGTTGGCTTGTGAGCACTCACTCGAGGTGCTTACAACTGTCATGGTAACATCCATCTTACCATAGGTCCACCCGCTTATAGTTGGCCACATTTGACATCTCTCCTTGATGGCGCAAGTTTGACGTAATAGCTATGGGTACTAGTCGCCCTGCGAGCGCGGTAATTTGAGCTCTGAATCGACCTTGATGAATCTCGTAAACAAAGCCGCTAGCGGCTAGTCCACTGTCCAGCAAATAATTGAGTAGTCGTCAACTGTGCGCAGACCAGTCTGTGGAGACCCAAACGAGCAATAGAAGATCTACTTACGCAAAGGTCAAAGAGACAACAACATGAAGGTATATTGGGTGACTCGATCGAACTGGACTTGAGATGATCGACTTGAATGATTTGTAACCAGTTCAGCTTGAAGACGGCCTGATATTGTTTAGCGCTGACATTGACATTGGTTCAGATCAATTCTCTCAATAGAGCCTCTTGTCAATTTCAGTCCAGGCTGAACAATCGAGGAAAACACGCTGAAATACATCGCAAGATGCAACTCTTGCCCGGTTCTGGTTGAAACCCTCTACTTCAAGCCCACCCAGAAGGATCATCAGCCCTTCCAAAGAAATTGGCCGACTTCAATGGCGCGTACTGCGAGTACGGAACTCTTTCGAGTATATAATGACTCGTTTACTGCTCATTCTCGATCATTTCTCATCCAGCTTGTTCATCCAATCTTTCTTATCTGCTTTCCATCTTAGCTTTTCAACTTATCTTCATATCACCTATATCACCTTCACTTTCACTTCTTCGAACAAATATATTACAGATCTTATATACCATATACTTCCCTTGACACACATATCACTTTTTTGATTATAAAAACATTTTCATCTTATCTCATTTATCCTTACAAACTTTCAACTTACAACAATCTTTATCAATATGCAAATCAACATCGCTTACGTCGTCGCCGGTCTCCTTGTCTTTGTCTCATGTAAGTCTATAGCTTTTTTTGATTTATTCTTTCATTGTTTGCGCGTCTCACTGAATTTCTTTGGCTTTTCAGCAAACTTTGGTGAAGCCGATGCTCGCATGATGACTACCAGCTACAAAGGCGTAGAAGCGTTAGTACATTTTCTCCATCCGTGTCCCAGTGCTATGAATATCTCGACTGACTTATCTTTCCCCCCTCAGTCACCGTGCACACAAACGTCAGGCAGATGGGTATGTTCCACACACCGCTACTGCTTATGGCGGCCCCAACAATTCCGCGGCTGCTCAACCAATTATGGGAAGTGGAGCCGTCCATAACGTGGCAGGGACATCTACACCACCTACCAACACACCTGTTGAAGGCTCATCCCACCCGGAATCAGGTTCAATTGTTTCGCCGATTTCCAAACAAGCCCCCGTCTCTGCTACCACCCCACTTCCTCCTTACTCATCGCGTCCTAACGCTTCAGCTGGAAGTGCTCCTCAAGCGTCCAGCCCACAAATCATTTCGCCTACCTCTCAACGACCTGTTGGGGGCTCATCTCCTGCGGAATTAGGTTCAATCGTTTCACCAATTTCCAAACCAGCCCCCGTCTCTGCTACCACCCCACTTCCTCCTTACTCGTCGCGTCCTAACGCTTCAGCTGGAAGTGCTCCTGAAGCGTCCAGTCCACAAATGCTTTCGCCTACCTCTCAACGACCTGTTGGGGGCTCATCTCCTGCGGAATCGGGTTCAATTGTTTCACCAATCTCGAAGGCGCCTGTCTCTGCTACCATCCCACCGCCTCCTTACTCATCGCGTCCTAATGCCTCAGTTGAAAGTGCTCCCACAGCATCCAGCCCTCAAATCCTTTCGCCTACCTCTCAACACCCTGTTGGCGTAGAATCACCATCATCATCAGGATCTGAAGGACCAGTCCCAGCACCTCTCAATGGCGAAGAATCTAACACCTCATCTGGTGCCCCTCATCACGGAAAGGCGCCTACCACGCCAATTACTCGGGCTTCTCCCGTCCAATCATCAGGCGGATCTCCTCTTCCTTTGTCTGATTCCATGCCTATTCCCAACGGTGGCGTCGACACATTACCCATCCCCATCCCATCAGGCGGTCCTCGTGGGACACCCACTCCATTCGGAAGCAACGCCCCTCTTCCAACTGCTGCGCGACCACTCATTGTGCCGGGACCTGGATTTGCAGGTCCTGGACCTGTACTCGGTGGCCCCGTCCCTGTACTCGGTGGACCGGGCTTTGGAGGTCCCATTCCTGTAGTCGGTGGACCGTCCTTTGGGCTTGGTGGACCTTCCTTTGGACTCGGTGGACCAGCCTTTGGACTTGGTGGCCCATCAGAAGGATTCCTTGGAGGCTCACATTTCGGTGTTGGAGCACAAGTTGGTCAAGGAGTTGGGTAAGTCATATACTCTCTTCATCACAAATATGAACACGCATTAATTGATTCCCTTTTTGAACAGTGTTGGTCCAGCAGGTGTTGGAGCTGGTGCAGGCTTTGGTGTTGGAGCCGACTTCGGGTGAGTAATTTTATTTTTGTTTTCTTAACAAATTCCGAGACTGACGTTTTTTTCTATAGTGCCGGTCAAGGCTTAGGTATTCCTGGTGCTGGTCTCTTCCAAGGTGTTGGCGCTGGATTTAACGCTGGTGCTGGCTTAGGCGCTGGTGTAGTACCAGGTGTTGGATCTGGTGCAGGATTAGGTGCAGGATTCAATGCTGGTGTAGGTGTCGGCGGAGGTGCTGGCTTAGGTGGCTTCCCAGGTGCTGGCTTTAACACCGGTGCTGGTTTAGACGCTGGATTCAACGCTGGTGCTGGTTTAGGTGCTGGTGCCGGATTCGGTGCTGGTGTTGGTGCCGGAGTAGGTGCTGGCGCTGGCCTAGGTGGCTTCCAAGGTGCTGGATTCAACGCTCGTCAGCATGTTGGTGCCGGTTTTGGAGCTGATGCTGGTGTTGGAGCCGGCGCTGGTCTAGGTGGCTTTCACGGCGCTGGATTCAACGCTCGTCAGCATGTCGGTGCGGGCTTTGGAGCTGATGCAGGTGTTGGAGCTGGTGTCGGCGTTGGCGCTGGAGCTGGAGTTGGTGCTCGTGCAGGTGTTGGAGCTGGTGCCGGAGTTGGTGCTGGCGCAGGTGTTGGAGCTGGTGCTGGGTTCCATGCTGGTGCTCAGCAACATGCCGGTGCGGTATTCTAAACATCAAGCCGTATAAATTGTTTTCAAATGTATTTCTCATTATTTATTAGCTAAACTGTTAATGTGACTTGTAAATCTTTTTGATATCCATGTACAACCTACTCTCAATACCAACATTTTGTACAAACTCTTGCAATCACTTTAGCTATATCACCATCACATAACAACCCCAGAATCGAAACATTCCCATTTCCCACGCAATTTAGCATACTTATGCGCTTGAACAAAACACGCATCCGATTAGTTCTCTTGAGTCCTCTTTTGGTTTGATCTCATCGTGCTTCTTGCGAATCACACGAGATAGTGTGACACAATGCATTGCCACCTCGCTCTTATCTCTACCTATATCTTACAAGCCATCAAATTTTTGTCAGATAGAAACTGCCTTGAGATGATTTAGGAATTCTATAACCCGCACAAGGTATCAAATATAACTTGTGGATTATGTCGATCGAATGCCTTTCAGAGCGCTAGCCATCTTCAATCTTTTCCCGGAATGTGAATGTGTATCACTTGAAGATAAGATGAAAGAGAGTCAGAGAACAGCACAATGAGATTTACGCCTCAGATATGTTAGATCAAAACTAAACAGTGAGCGAGTCTCTCATCGGTCACAAAAGACTGTGTCTTTCTTGTTGTTTTGGTCCGGATCCTTGGTGGAAAAGATGAGAATGATGGATTGGCTGAGCTCTTGAAGTTGTGAAGTCAAAAATGACATTTGAGATGAATCGGTCATCACTTTCACCTTTATTGGCCAAGAATTTGACTGATCAACTTGATCGAATACCATCAGTCCCTTTACCTCATTCCTAGATCCAATCATTATTCAATCGGTCGAGTTTGGTGATAGTTCACCCGATGTTCAAATCATCGTCATTAGTGATATTAGTAAAGCTTTCTTTGACGCTGATATACGAGCTCAATCATCAAGATCTCAGCCAAATGATCATGATTCGACATATCCATCTTGCCAATTGGTATCCTCCCAACTCTGATAGTCGATTTCTTGGTTCTAGACCCTCTCCTATTATTGCAATGTCCTTCAATGCCAATCGATCTCATCAAGCAGTAGAAACTCCCCGTGATCATACTGCTTTCCTTACTTCTACCGATCCAAATCTTCCGGACTGGCAGAGTACATAATCACCCTCGGGAATTTATGAAACTAGACATCCATCACTTCAAAGTCGTAGCTCATCTTTTTGTCAACCATCACTCAAATTACATCTACGAGTGACCTATCCGGGGAACATGCGGATTGACCTATCAACTGCATTGATCCTTAATCATCCTGCACCTCTCTTCATGAGTTTACCTGTCTAGCTGTGAGTGATGGGATTTGTTGTATCTGCAGCTGAAGTGATCTTGGCAATTGAAGCTAATCAATCAAGATGTCATTGTAAAATTATGTAACCTACTCTAAATCCAGATGAAAAAGTTGATGATGGGCCTCATCCATCTGAACTGACTCCGGGTGCAAGAATCCTACCTGAAATTTTTATACAAACTGAAGTTAGTAATGCTGATCAACATGTACTAAGAATGTGGGAGAAGTTCAAAGGTTTTTACTTGATACACTGCGTGACTGTCAAATTATTTGTCATGAACTCTTTCTTCCGGTAATGTCTTTTGCACCTCTTCTTCTTATTCATATCTTGAGTATTCCAAACTGAGGTCTCACTGTTTTGCAATCTAGACCATTGAGATTTTTGATTGGCCATAAAGGAATCAAAATCTGTGAAAAACTATAACTTATATTGCATCCACCTGAAACTTCAAACTTAATGTTGCAACATCACGTAATTTTTTGGTCAATAGATAGTCAAATTCAGCAAGTTTAAGCCTCACCCATGACACCTGGTATTATATTATACATCATACCACACCTAGGGTGAGTAACTCTCCAGATACCAATTGTAAAAATGCACTCATTCAACAGATATGCCATGTGATTGCTCATTTAAGTCTTAATCTCATGATGTATCATTTGGAATCAATAAAATCTCCTGTTCAACAAATATTATACATTTCTTCAAGCCAAATTCATCATAGGTACAGCCTCAATGACATGGATGAGAAAGATAATTGATGAGTGGAATTTTGGCTCATGGCTTTGTTACATACTGGCCATTGTCACCCAAGAGGAGAGGCTAGTGTTATTACAGACTAGCTTTGTTTGATTCTTACATCTGTCTAAGTAAAAAAAAACTGATTTTTTTTACATGTAAAGCTCTGATCCTTTATAAGACACATATAACTAGGACATACTGCTGGACCAAAGGTCAATGGCAGCTTCCATGTGTCCCTTTGACATCTTAACCTAGTTCCACAATGACAATAAAGTGTTTTGTGTGAAACTGTTTGATTTATCTTACAAAGAGTACAAGGATTGCCTGGCTTAGACAAGGGACAAGATGCAATCACATCTTGTTGAGGTGTCTTCCCTGCATGTTGTTTTGGTTGTTTTGTAGTGGTGTTGCCAAACTTGTCCATGATTTTGTCAGTTTCAGAGTCACTTTCAATGAAAATGGCTCTGGCTTTGTCCTGAGATGCACCCATTGGTGAGTCTAATGTTCTTTTGGCCATTTTGAAGTATAGAAATGTTTATATGATGATATTTTGAATAAATCCAGGTGAATCTTCAGATTTGTCACAAACAGAGGAACAGGATCAGAGGAAAGGAACCCTCTAGTCTTAGAATAATGTTAAAATTAGTCCCCAAATGACCTCACACGTCTCAAAGGGTTAGTACGTATAATCTCATAATATCTCAATGGCTCTCAATGGCTCTCAATACACGAATTCTCAATAGACAGCATTAGACTAACAGTCACTACAGGTCACAACAAGCCTAGATCCTTGGCAAGCTCTGTCACCAACCATGCTACAAAAGTCCTCTCAGAGCAGCTCAGAGCTCAAAATCCAACCATTTTGGTCAGTGACATCTGTCAAACATTTGTTCAAAATCCCACCTTTTTTGACAGTGACCTCCTTAGGTGCATTCCAGGAGCCTCACTATTCTCACTTTTTTCAGTCTTACACCACTCATCCCACTAATTTCTAAGCAACTTTTGAACAACCCATTTTTGAAGTATGTGGAGCCAAAACTATCCTCACAATTCTCACATACCTGCTTTTTTGTTTCTAGTCAATTCAACTTAGTCCAATAATGGGATACAAAGTTAAATCTGGGATTTTTTCCCAGTTTCCCAGTTTTTGTTTTTGTTTTTGGCTGTATTTTGGGAAACTGGGAAACTGGGAGAATGTGGGAACATTCCAAACACAGCCAAATACAAAACCTGGGAAACTGGGAAAAAACTCCCAGATTCAACTTTGTATCTCATAAATCTTGTTACCAAGCAGCTTGTAATGAACAAAATTCTTAACCTTTGTTGAAAAAACTCTAGTCAATGTCTGAGCTGATCTCCATTTGATGACATCATGGCTCTTACAGCACAAGATTGATCTGAAAGAAGAAAAGAAAATTCATATCACCCCAGCCAAATATAAAGCCAAGAAATCACCAATGTTCAATTGCTAAGAAAACGTCCAAAGGAACCTCAACCAAGATCTGCTTGGCTGCCATTTCTCAGAGGATTTAAGTTCTTGAATGGTTCCATGCACGTGGAGAAAGCCAGAGGAAGACAGTTGAGCACTTCAGTTGACACTTACCTGATCTCAACTTGAAGCAACCAACACTCAGCCAATGGGTTGTCTCTGGGCTAAAAATTTGTGGTACTGGTCCACTCAATGCTCAAACAGCACTTCAAGTTTGAGCAGTGAAGCATTTTGAGCTCAAATAGATGCTTGAGCAATGGATTGACAAGGTTCCTGCTTCTGGAGTCATTATCACGGGAAAGGTTATCAAAGCTTGATGGAAGTATCATGCTTGTGAAAGGAACCTCCCTGCAGATCAACAACAATTAGCTCTGTACTAACCATGGGGAAGCTGGGTCAGTTGACATTATGACTGTTCAAGATATCAATAAAGCTTATAATCTCATGGACATATATAATATGGATGAAACTGCATTGATCTACGTGTAAGTTCTGTTGTTTTAATATTTTCTTTGTCCTCATTGTCATTGTATGTTTTTTGTTGTTCACTATATGTTATTTTAGTATGCCACCCAATCAAGGTCTTGCCAAGGAGGGTAAATCTGGAGTGAAAGGAGTGAAAGTAAGACCACAAAATGTAGTCTTCCGCTGATAGTTTTTTTATTTTATTTTTCTCTGTGATTTTTTAATGTTTTAAGTCACTCATTTTCAATCATTATACTGATCTTGTTTTATTCCCCATTACACTTTCAATTTATTCCTTATTTGTCTGTTAATTCAAGTACCCTATTCTACATATGTACATATTCATTGTGTTTGTATTAAAAAAACAAAAAAATATGAATATACCTATTGCTTTGTCCTGCTTGCTTGGCTTCATAAAGATGGAAGGGCAGCAAGGGCAGGTCCAACATCTGCACCGCTCTGCCAGTCATGTATCGGGTCTTGACATGTAGCGGGAAGTTGTCCCGCTGCAAAAACACGCCTAAAAGTGGGGCGCTTCAGGCGTTGCTATATCATGTACATTAGGGGGTTTCAAGTTGAATTTTTTTGCGTATTTTTACGCTACAACAACTTGCCCGTTGTTGTAAAATATGCGTAAATTTTTTACAGCGGGACACCTTTTTAGGTGTCCCGAATTAAAATTACGTTGTTTTACGAAGATTTTTTTTACGAACAACTTGTCTGAATTTTTAAAAATTACACAAAAAAAAATTGAACTTGAAACCCCCTATTGTACATAGGCCTTACATAGAGTCCAGAGTGCGCGCAGCCGCATCCGCACGTTCTATGTGTCTGTGTAGTGTGCCTGTATAGCCGCCCATTTGTAGACTTTTTTGTTCAAGTTTCGCTTTATCGCTTTTCCTTTCCTCAGCCCAGAGAAACACCTTCACCTCATCATCAAATATGTTATCATTGACTTTCCGACGATGTCCGCTGAATCGTTTAGCAAATTCAGCACGAATCCCTGGGCTATCATTCAACTTTTCAACTAGCAAGCAATCTTTATCAGACCAACAAGACTCAAAGTTACATCCTATTTTCGCACCCTCGAAGGAAGTCACTAAACCATCCTTTGGCTCAGATCCATACCCCATTCCACTTCAAAGTCCTCTCCACCATACTCGTATCCCAGAAAAATACGAAATGAGTTCCAACCAAAACCAATTCGAAGAATCGGTCAAGCTGGATGAATCGATCGAATCTCTTCGTGCTAGGCTTGTGTACCAGAGCCGTAAACGTGGGATTGTAGAGATGGAGCTCTTGTTGAGCACTTTTATCGATGGTGGGAAACTAGAAGAGTGGAATATAGAACAATTGCAAACTTATGATAGAGTAAGCTCACTGGGATTTTCTTCTCTCTCGCTTTTATAACGCTCTGTGACTCTGCTTCTGACACGAAACTGGTATATTTCTTCATGTAAAACCAAAGTTTTTGAAATTACCAGACTGGGATATCTATTACTACGTCATCAAGAAGCTCGATCCTCCGGCTGAAAGTGAATGGAAAGACTCACAACTAGTCAACCAGCTTAGAATCCACACTGCAAACCGAGCCAAGCAGATCAGAATGATGCCAAGCCTCTCCACTACCAAGCATTCTAGATAGTGGACGAGGCTACTGTTTTTCGTCTCTCTGCTCGAATCACTTGTTTATCTGTAGATACTGTACATCATAAAGGCCATCTCAATTTGTAGCTTTCGTAGCGGGTATCCAAGAGCAATCCAGACAAAGCTGCTGCTCCTCAACGCAAAATCTTCGCAATAGTGTGAGCCACTTATTCACGTTGCCTTCACCCCTCCGTTGCTGGGGCCGTGCAGATGTAAATGTCTGTTTACGGGTTGATCTTTTGGCTAAAAACCCATGCCAATTCGTGTGAATCTAGCGGTCAAAATTCATCGCGCCCCTGGAGGATCTTGGAAATCATTCTTAAACAAAGCATTGCAATATCAACAAGCCTATCCAACATTGGCTGCGTACTCTACCTGTTGAATACTATGGGGTACCCTGCAAAACAGGACCCTTCAAGTTCAAACTTGAAATTTTGCGCTTCGGGATATACACATTAGGGGGTTTCAACTCAAATTATTTACGGTATTTTGCAGTCCGGTAAGTTGTCCGAGACCATAAAATTTACCGTAAAATTTAAAAATCCGGGACACCTTTTTAGGTGGTCCGAATTCATAAAACCGTATATTTGCGTAAAAATTCAACAATCCGGACAAGATGACGCACTTTTGTGGTAGTTTTTACAGCTGACCGATTTGAAAACACAAGTCAAGATCATCTCTTTACCTCTTTACCTCGTTCTCTGTATCTTGACTTTGATCTCCCTCATCGAATCAGATCATTAGTTTTCTTCCTCAAGTTTATTTCTTTTCAATCAAATTATCATTTCTTTACCTCGATCATCTCTCATCAAGTTTATCCGCAAGATTCCGTTTGAATTCGATCTTTCAAATCTAATCTTTAGTTCTTTACCTTCGGCTTCGAATTGCAATCATCAATTCAAAGGTGAGACACACAGCATTTTGATTCATAGAGGTATACATTTGACTAAATTACCATATTCCATGTTCGGTTTCCACTCTTCAGCCAGCCTGGATTGATTTAGGGTGTAGATAACACCGGTGGTAGAAGTTTAACCCACTAAAACAATTAGAAGGTTTGTTTTTCTGAATTTATAGAGAATGATTCAGATTTGGAGTGTGCTTGCTGACACTTTGGATTGTTGTCAGAATGGTTCGAAGGTCAAATATACAGGTTAAGGAGGATGTCGCTCTCTTGAATCTGCCTCCAAACGCCATCCCGACTCCAGCTCAGATCCGAAAGTCAAAAGAGATGCGCAAAGAGATCGAATCAGGCTCTACTCCTGCCCAGCCAACTCCTGCCCAGCCAACTACATCTAAGCCAACTAAATCCAAGCCGACTCCTGCCAAGCCAGCTATATCAAAAACTCCTGTACCTGCTAAGAGGACCGTGGCCAAACAGCCAGCCGGGGTTTCTTCTACTCTTCCTAAAGCGACTACTTCCAAAAAAGCGTCCAAATTACCTGAACCTGTCGAAGACGATGAAAAAACAGCCGAGAAACCTTACCACAATCCTCGCTTTGATCACAAGGATTTGGAGCGTTTAATCGAGGAGATTAGTAAGCCTAAAGTCAAAAATGCCCTTTTTGGATCGGGAAGCAAGCCAAGCCTCGGCCTCAGTCGAAATGGGGCATGGACTACAATTGCAAGTATGATGAATGTCTTTCATAACGATAACAATCGCACATCAACAAAAAGCTCTAATGAACAAATGAAATTGAAAGGGACTGATTTAATGAAAAGGTGGAGGGCGATAAAAGAGAGATATATGGCAGCAAAGAAACTTTTCAAAAGTACAGGTGAAGGTCTTGAAGCAGGTGATGAAATGGACACCCTCAAAAAAAAGGCAGAAAAAATATGTCCTTGCTATGAACTTCTAGACGAACTCTATGGACACAAAGCCAACGTCAACCCACACGCCCTTTTGGATAGCATGAATCGAGTCGAAGGCGATATCGAGACGGATTCAGAAAACGATTCAGATGAAGATTCGGTTGTTATTGAAGGTACACAAGCAGCTAATCAGGTTGAAGATGACGTGATTGATCCTATTCTCAACTCACTTGCTGGTGATGATGTCGATTGGTCGGCCTTGATTTCTGACGCCAACAAACAAATCAATATTGAAATCGATTCAAATGAATACTTGCAAGATCTCAGTGACAACGGGTTAGCTGAGAGTCTAGTCAATCCAATCCTAGACAATACTGAAAACTCCCCCGAGTTTCCACCACTCCCTTCTCCAATTACTCTACCCGAAATTGACAATACCCCAATTGAACCCAATCAAACCTCTTCGACAAACAAAAAACGCAAGCCTTCAAATGCAGCCACTGACGATCGACCTGCCAAACCTTTGGCATCAATTGATGAATCTAATCAAAAACGCCGCAAAGGACCAGCAAGCTTTCTTATGGACGACCGCGACGATAAGAAGTATGCGTTCCTAGATTCAAAGTTTCAAGCCAAGAATGAGAATGATTTGAAAAAACTCGACTCTGAAAATCAACGAGCTAAAGAATCACTGACCTGGGACAAGACCAAGTATGAGCGTGACGATGAGAATATGAAACGTCGTGAAGAGAGAAGTATGGACACTGAATCAAAACGGACACTTATCGAAGAGAGACGAGTGCAGGTAGAAGCTGATAAGAATGAGAGAGAAATACTCTGGGCTCGTGAGAAGTTCAATTTAGAAACCTCTCAAGCAGCTGCAAGCAAACAGGCAGAAGCGAGTACTTTAGCATTGAGAACTCGTTTAGATGTTATGGAGACCTGTCGAAGGGATGGCATGTCTGTAGATGAAATCTCAGCGTACTTGAAGATAGTTTTTAATGAATGAAAATTCCTTTCTATTCAAATTGTCAAGTGTCTTATTAACCAAAATGTCAAATATCTTATTAACCAAAATTCCAAGTATCTTATTAACCAAAATGTCGAGTACTTTGTTTTGATCAGCTTATGTGTAATTTCAACTCTGTTCTGTTACATGAAAGGAACCCAGAATTTTCCCGTTTTTCAAGGTTTCTTGATTTCTTTCTTACAACCAAAAAAAAGGAAAAATTTGTAAAAAACAATTAAATCATGTATTTAAAGCAAAGAAGAACCTATGCGTCTTCTTGAGCAAAATCTAAAGCAAAGTCTTGCACTAGCTCTCTGCGTAGACGACCGACCTCATTATCCCCAATTTCATTTATTGCCAAAATCAAGTTATCCACGCCTTGATACATGTCATTTGCATAGTCATCAGCATATTCATCGTCCCATTGATCTCCCAGGGCAGCGAGTAGGTTGTGTAGGATAAAAGAGGCATGTATCCATCGAAGGATTGACTTCATGTGCTTGGGCTTGTCAAGTCGAAGCCGTAAGCATTGAAGTGAGGCCCAACGGCACTTCGAGATCCCGATGGTATGTTCGTTACGTATACGAGCTTGGGCAACAAGTGTGTTGAAGGCTTTGTTTTCCACGAGATTGGCTGCTTGACCTTTAAATGTAGAAACCACGGTGTTGCTGATTTTGTAGGCAGAATCGCCTAATATGTATTCACCTATGATCAACAATGAGTCAAAGGTTTGTCAATGAGACTTGTTCAAAATTGAACACATAGGTTGAACTCACCTTCTGAAAACCAACGTTCTGGTTCAGTACAAAGTGTCATCATCGAAAAGCACTTGTAATCGTGACAGGATCCAGGCCATCCAGTGTAGAAAGCTGTGATACGGCGATCACAGTCACAGACGACTTGACAATTGATCGAGTAACGTTTTTTTCCATCGAAAAAGGTCTCGCCATCAAGACCTGGCCGTTGGTAGAGAGGGATGTTGGTTCCATCAACAAAACCCACACATCCTGGAAAGCCCTCTAATGCCATCACCGCGGAGATTTCTTCTCGTCTTTCCGGTCCAGGCCACTGTATATAGTGACTACTTGTGCTGATGATGGCGTGAATTACTCGTCGGGTACATTTGATAATAGTGCCCATCGATCTCTTGTAGTCTCTTCCCATCCGACGCACCGCACAACCATTTCCGTTACTGCCGAGGCGTTCAAGGGCAAGGGCTAGTTGAATGACCACTGGAGGCTGTGGGTTATTACTGTTGGATATGAAGATGGGATGAGCAGAGATCCGATCGAGAACGGCGTAGAAGCCAGCATGTGAGGTTCGCATGCACTGTCGAAACTCGACCTCTCGATCTCGGAGAAGGTCATTGAGACTGAACTCCATCTCGTAAGGCATCTTCCATCGAGCATTGTGGTACCGTAAGCCTTCTAAGATTACTAACAACTCTCGAGCCTCGCCAGCTTCGTTGAACAAGATGTCAATAAGGTCACCGGTGTCTGGATCGTCTTCAAAAAGTATGTCGCCGACCGAAGGAAATATCTTTTCGCCCAAGACCTGCTCTGCTAACCAATTGTCATCTTCATCAATATCCATCATTTCACAAAAGTTTTCAACCTCAGCCAGTGTCTTTTTCCGTTGAGATGTGCGGACCATCTTATTTGATGTGTTGAAGATATGATTGATGAAATAAATTGAGATGGATTGTGATTGATTGATGTGGTAAAGAAGGAAACCAAAGGTTTGAAGTCAAATTGGCTTGACCCATCACAGATGATCTGGTGCAGCGCTGTCCGGATAGTGAAACGGACAAGTTTGCTCCTTTTACGCTCATATATTTTACAGCATCTTTTATGAGATCGGACAAATTTTTAAAAATCCACTGTTATAAAAAATTTGTCCGTTTTTTTACAATTTTCACAAAAATAATTTGAGTTGAAACCCCCTATTGTAGGTTCCCAGTCGACATCATAGGGAGTTTCAAGTTTGTTTGTTTTCTGCGTATTTTTTGAAAGTTTGGTCAAGTTTTTTGTAAAAAAAACTGTGTAAAACCAACATATTTTTAATTTGGGACATCTAAAAAGGTGTCCCACTTGTAAAAAATTACGCATATTTTACAACAAAGGGCAAGTTGTTGTAGCATAAAACTACGTAAAAAAAGCTAACTTGAAACCCCCTAATACATAAGGAATTATGCCCTTTGATTATATCCATTTAAGGAATAAGGTGGAGTTGGCGTATCTGGTGTCATTGTCTGCAAGTCTTGCCAAAGCTGTCAAACACGCCACAGTTGCAGGCATTGCCTCACCCATTGGG